AATAGAAAAACGTATTTGTAAGTTGGAATATTTATTTAGCACTTAAAATGCATACCTTGGATTTCTATATATTTTCAGTATTACAATATTTTGGAGGAAAAAAGCAAGCTGTAATGATACTTTCAAAATGATGTCATTTTAGTAAAAATTTTAAAGAAATACATACAAGACAATACTATGTATTGTTCAGTGATACATAGAGATTATATAAACAGATGAAAATAAATTTAAGATTTATGGTACGTTATAGAGTTTGGGAAGTGGGGAGAGTGGAATGGGTATAGGGATGGGGACAAAAGGGATTTCTAGATTATCTGTCACTTGAGAAATATGACAAAATATCAGTTGTGAAACCTAGGGTGTGGATTTACAAGTGTCAATTAGTTTTGCACTTTAATTTAAAAATTTCTTCAAGAGACAAAAAGACAAATACAAAAACTACAAGGTGTGCAAACCAGATGACAGTGGAAAAGCCACAAGAACTTACCTAGGGAATTGAATGATGGTGCTAAAACATACAGAAGCGTGAGGTGAATCATCAGAATTTCGATTCCTGACCTTTCCATATCAGTGTCAGTCATCATGCCCTCTTAGGAGTTGAAGCCCAGGCCCAGGCCCAGGCCCAGGGAGACCCACTGACCTGGTGGTGAGAACTGGAGGCCACTCCCAACTTCATCCTTTCAATTTCTAATAAGGGTTTTTCTACTTTAGTAGACAGATGTTATTTCTACGAAACTCTGTGGCTTAATTTTTCTCTGTCCTTCTCTCTCCCTCCCTCATTTCCATCCCCTTTTCTTTTCTTCTATTTTATTTCTATTTCTTTCGTTTTTTCTCACTCATCATTTCCTCTATTTTTTTTCCCTTTCCTCTCAGTCAGTATGGAAACCAACAGACCAAGTTTGGAAACTGACAGTTTATTATTGTCAGACTATTCTAAACCAGTGTTCGGAGACTTTCTCTGTTGCTTAATATTCGTATGAACTGATGGTTTCTCTCTTTCCTCAAAGTGTTTACAATCTAGAGAAGTGTTACTGATGGGAAGCAAATTTTTGTTGAATTTTGTTGAAAAACAAGACAATACTTAATTGTAATCTCCTTTGGATCCCTCTGAAAACACAAGTAAAACCAAGAAAAATCAGTTTGGATATTCTATTTCTGTAGTTTTGATATCATCAAGAGAGGATTATCCAATCAACACCGTCAAAGAGTCAAATAGTCAAGAAACTAGAGGCAAAATCTTTTCATGGCTTAATTTATGAGCCAAATGACAAGACAAAGCAGGCAAAGGTTAATGAAGGTAAATATGTAGTGAGAAGAAATAACAAACTATACATGGAAAGAAACACTGAAACAGACTAATATATTAGTTATAAAGTAAGTTGAGGCCAAGTAAGAGAAAAATGGCAAAATATTGACTCAGCTGACTGAGAATTCAAATTTAATGAAGAGATGGGAAATTATAATGAATACACACACACACACATATCTATTGTGATTGGATGTGCATCCTATAGCTTAAAACTTATTTCTTAATGATGTCATGGAAACATTTTCTAAAAGACCTGGAGACAGACAAAGCGAATTACACAAAAAGTTGTCATGCTATTGTTGCTATTGTTTTAATGAAAAGTGTAAAAATAAATAATACCAACAAGCTGGAAGTGACTTAAATTATGTTGCATGATGGTCCAATTTGATATTTTCCTAGTGTATAAGTAAAGATCTACCCAGAAATGTAAAGACAGCATGTATTTTTTTTTCTCATCTCTTTTCTTAAAATGAGTGCTTTCTAAACCACACTCAGATATCACCTCACGCCAGTCAGAGTGGCCAAAATGAACAAATCAGGAGACTATAGATGCTGGAGAGGATGTGGAGAAACGGGAACCCTCTTGCACTGTTGGTGGGAATGCAAATTGGTGCAGCCGCTCTGGAAAGCAGTGTGGAGGTTCCTCAGAAAATTAAAAATAGACCTACCCTATGACCCAGCAATAGCACTGCTAGGAATTTACCCAAGGGATACAGGAGTGCTGATGCATAGGGGCACTTGTACCCCAATGTTTATAGCAGCACTCTCAACAATAGCCAAATTATGGAAAGAGCCTAAATGTCCATCAACTGATGAATGGAGAAAGAAATTGTGGTTTATATACACAATGGAGTACTACAGGGCAATGAGAAAGAACGAAATATGGCCCTTCGTAGCAATGTGGATGGAACTGGAGAGTGTGATGCTGAGTGAAATAAGCCATACAGAGAAAGACAGATACCATATGTTTTCACTCTTATGTGGATCCTGAGAAACTTAACAGAAACCCATGGGGGAGGGGAAGGAAAAAAAAAAAGAGGTTAGAGTGGGAGAGAGCCAAAGCATGAGACTCTTAAAAACTGAGAACAAACTGAGGGTTGATGGGGGGTGGGAGGGAGGGGAGGGTGGGTGATGGGTATTGAGGAGGGCACCTTTTGGGATGAGCACTGGGTGTTGTATGGAAACCAATTTGACAATAAATTTCATATATTGGAAAAAAAATAAAAAAAATAAAATGAGTGCTTTCCTTACATACTTGAGTGTGATTAAGTCCAAGAAACACAAAATCTTCTGGTTTACATTAGTGTTACTTGTTTCTCCTGGTTTTGTATTTTATTGATTGATTGATTGATTGATCTATTTATTTTTACAGAGACAGAGAATGCCTGTGTGGGTGGGGGAGGGGCAGAGAGAATCCCAAGCAGGCCCTGTGCTTGTAACGAAGGGCCCAGCTAGGGGGTGGGCCCTCAAACTCACAAACCGTGAGATCATGGCCTGAGCCAAAATCAAGAGTCAGATGCTTAACCACCTGAGCCACTCAGGGGCCTCTGCTGGTATTTTAAAAACAGAAAATACTAAGGTGCTGAACACTTTGATGTGCTGCACTTACACTTGCTGTAAAAATTAGTAACATTAAAAATAAATTCAGTGCCTTTCAAAACTTTTGAATTATCATGGCAACTTTAACATATAAGATGTGGGGCACCTCGGTGGCTCAGTCAGTTGAGCATCCGACTCTTAGTTTCAGCTCAGGTCATGATGTTGCAATTTGTGAGTTCAAGCCCCGCTTTGGGTTCTGTACTGACAGTGCACAGCCTGCTTTGGATTCTCTCTCTGCCCCGCCCCTGCTCACATGCTCTCTCTCCCTCTCAAAATAAATATATAAACTATAAAAAATTGTTTAAAAAACTGAAAAATAGATATAACATGTGATATATTTAAATACCAAAATTTAAAATTTAAAATTTACTAAATTCCATGCACTTAAACTGATACAGTGACCTTGTCCAATATTTTCCCGTCAGAAGATTTTTGTAGTCTCTAGTTGACCACCACATTTATATTTCTGTGTCCAGAGATGATAGAGGGAAGAGTGGTAGAGCTTGGAAACTTAGAAACAAGATGACTAGGATTTATAGGGCCACCTTAGAGGTGATTGGGAAATTGAAGAAATAAGTTGCCATTTGGCTTTATGAATTTTAAATTGTGGCTTTTTTGGATCACAAATAAAATGGACAATAAAATACTTATTGATCCAGGTTTTCCCTAAGAATACAAGGTTTGCCTGGAATAGAAAGAAGCTAAGATTACAGACTCTACACTAAAGATCCATAGCAAGAAATTAATAAGATATTATTAAATTGTGTAAAAATAAACTACATGAAATCTAGAGTCAGACAATTCTGAATTTCTGTTAGGTTGAGTGGCTTGCAAGTCACTATAGCTTTAGGCAAGTCACTAGCATTTTTCATGCATATATTTCTCTTCTGTAAATTTGGGATAACAATACATAGCAAGTTAATTGATTTAAGAACTGCTTATTAAGGATTATCTTTACTATGAGGAAAACAGACTATAAGAGGGCAAGAGTAGAGAGAAACCAGTTAGGGTCAGTTAAAGCAGTTCAAGGAAGAGATGTTGATGCTTGGGCCAAGATTGCCATCATGGTGAAAAGTGGTCTAATTTGGAATATAATTTGAAAGTAGTGGGGATGTGATTTCCTGGTGGATTGGATGAGGAGAGTGAAATAAAGAAGTTAAAGAGGTAGACGGCCTGAGCACCTGGGGGAATGCAGGTGTCCATATCTGTAAGTAGCAGGATCAAGCCTTGGGTTTTGGACATGTTAAGAGTGAGATACCTCTCCTCTATATTCAGGACCACTGTATTATGGTTGTATAGGTTGTTCAGAGCACAGAGGGATTTGGGGACTGAAATCCCAGCAGTATTCTTGAGTGGGGCTGCATCTGCCTAGAGAAAGGAGCACTCTTTAATTTGTACCAAAGCAACCTGTAGGCCAACCTGAAGAGGCCCTGAACGGACACAGGGGCTTTTGGGGTAGTTCACCCTTGTGTGGTTCACAGGGTCACTTGTAGATATTAAAATAAAATGAAAAACATCCACAAGAGTGGCTAGCACATAGGAAGTACCAAGTGCATCTTAATTCTCTTCCTCTCCTATACTGTATATTGCATTTTACTTATCTGTGTACCCTTACATTAGCTTCTTGCACTGATTTAATGTGGTGTCATGATGATAAACTATTCTGAGGGGGTTTCCCAAGAAACAGGAGATGTAAATGACAACAGTAGACAAAAGCAGCCCTTCTTTGTGCTCTTGGAATTTCAGTACACAGGTCAAACTGTAATGTGACGAATTTTCAGGGGTTTATTCCTCCATTTCTTAACATTTATGTGAAGAACGGCACACTGAGTGGCTAGCATTTGAATTTTTCTTGAGTACTCAGATTACTTTTAGCCTATTAGTAGGTGGATAAAAGAGGAATTGGATAGTACTAGGGGTAAAAATAATGCACAGTGTGAAGGGAAACATTTATGAATACTTCTCAGAATCCTCTATTTGTTACTTTGGTTTCCTATTATTTTACCTAGGTTTTAAAGCACCTCCTGTTATAACAGTTTAAAAAGCATTGATTTTCCTTTTTAATTTTACCATAATCTCTAAATATACTTACCTCGATCATCATATGAAGTGTCTAGAGGGTTGAAGGAAAAACATAAGATTCTTAATTTCTCATAAATGGATTTCTGTATTAATTTCTTAGCAATTCAGCATATAATTTATTTACCACTTTCTGTTGAATATAAATGTCGGAATCCTGAAAGACAACATGAAAACATAATGAGATTCTACCTTGGCAACTATGTCTGCATCGTTTTCTTATTAGGTAAAAATCTGTTTACCTCTTCCTCTTTTAGATCTCTGAGAGGGAAAATCTTTTGGAGAAAAGAAACAGATTAAATTTACTAACAGCGCATCAAGAAATGTTTCATCGTATGTCTAAATCCAGCCAGGAAGATTTTTCTCCCTTCCCAGATATTCCCATTTTCTTTGGATTCCATTTCAGAAAAGAAAGAAAGGATGCCATATGCTTTGCTCCTCACTCTGTTGTTCATGACAGATGAATCATAGAAGTAAGAGGAGGAGGCATGGACCAAGAGGCCAAGTGTGGGGCATGACAGCAAGCAGCGTGATCAAGCTACTTCCTCTCTCCTTTTGGAAATGTGAATCCCTATACTTGTAGCGTGTGTGTGTGTGCGTGTGTGTGTGTGCGCGCGCACATGTGTATGCATGCGTACATGTGTGTGTCGCTACAAAAAAGTAGAGTGCCTTGGAATCTACTTAGAACCATTAGGTTTCTGGATGTTTTATTTCAAATAAGCTTTATGTTGTTTTTCAGTTACATTAGACCACATGTCCTGATTTGATTAATATTGATTAATTTAATATTAGTAATATTAATAATAAATACTGAAATTCAGTATAAAATGAGCCTTTTTTGTCTTAACCAAGTGGGGATAGTGTAATTGAGAATATGAGTGCTGGACTCAGGGCCACAAACCTGGATTTTCTATCCAACTCCTCCTTTTGCTAGGTGAATTTGGGTAAGTCTCATAACCTTTTGAGTATCAATTTCACCTTCTAAAATGAAGATAATATAAGTTGTGCTCACCTATTGTACTTTATAGCTTTACAAAGCATCTTTTTATGCAGAGTATTCAGACTTTATGACAACTCATGAATTTTATGTACTTTATCCCTATTTTACCCATCCAGGAAATTGTTTCAGAGAGGTTTCTTAGCCTTTCCATGATTTTGGGATAAACAGGAGTTGGAAGGGATTTTTTTAATGGTCTTAGGAAGGAGGCCTATTTGTCTTTTCTGAGAAAAGTGCTGAAATCTTATTTATATACATATATACACATACACGCGCACACACAGATGGATTGGCAGTTAGATAGTATGACAGGAAAAGATGTGCTGACTTAACAAATCATACTCAAAGGGAGATGAGTTCATTTTATGCTCTAAGGAACACATTCTTCCATTAATTCTGTAGTAGTTCCTAATCTATTTACCTCTACCATCTTCATAGTCCAGAAGACCAGCACCTGGAGAAAAAAGGAGAGAGTGCTCCATGGTTTTGCTTCTTGAAAATGAGTGGAGCTTTAAGACTCTGAGAGCTAATGTAGACATGAACTCCTGATAGTGAATAATAATAGGAATTAATTTTTTTTGCAGGAACTAGGACTGTGCATAGCAGGAGCAGGTGGTAAGTGACCGTGCTGGTCATCAGTTTCACCGGGCTACATAGTAATCAGAAGGGCCTCAGAATACTCTTCCTTCTTGGTACTCCAGCACTTAACTCCTGTTTTTCTTCTCTTACTAATCCTGGGCTGTCTTTTCAGCAACTTTGGCATCTTACTAGACATTGCCGTAGAAAATCTGCTTCACCTCTTTACATCTTGAACTTGGTTCTCTTTTGAATCATAATTATCTTAGTTGTATTCACTCTTGCTATTCCTAGCTACATTCCATTCGCCTACCTACCCACCTTGCTGAGGCCCTCTTCACTACCAGATTGAGACCTTCTGTTCCATTGCCTGAGGAGTCTGCTGTTTTCATGGCTTGGTATTTCTGTTGCTGCTCTTGGACCACAGGAGGCATCTGAAGAGAGCCTCAGAATCATGCAGACCTACCCTCTATTAGTTCATTCTGCCCAGTTTCAGTTTGACACTCAGTGTTGCATGGAAATCTCTGGTGGTGGGTTTCTCCCAGTAAATTAGAAGTTCAGTTCATGGAATGATGCATTATGCAAGGTGCTGGGAATACAATGATAAACAAGACAGATTTGATCCCTGACTTATAGAAATGCCATTATGCTTTCTAACTTTTCCTTTTCTCATGGATCTAAGTACTTACTTTGTTCTGAACTGTATCTTGAGACATCAATTTCTGTGGAAGAATCAAGCAAAAATATTACAATTATCTACTTGCAAGAGGTGTTTTTCCTCCTAACGCAACTCTCCTCACTCTAAACTGTGGTTCTTGCTCCCAAGGTGGCCCCCTAATATGATGCATTACTGGTTCCTACCTCTTTTAAGCACCTCCAGCCAGCCCTGTTCTACCTATCCCTCCACACTAATTCTCCACATAGGTGCTAGGATGAGAAATAAGGAGGGGATGCAGCTGATTAGAAGGGAGGTGGGAGAATACTAAGGAAAATCCTGGAAAGAGAGATGTTGTGGCATGGAAATACATTATTGCCTACATGAGTCCCATCTCGGGTTCATTGACAAATACTGTATACTGGTCTCTTATCATCTCTTCTGTATGAAGTCACTAAAATTCTTGAATTCTTTTTATATAATACTAGCACAGTGTCTTCTTTTTTCCATTTTTATTCCTCAGATAATTTCCCTTGGGTCTCAGATAATTTTAGAGTATTCTTGTTGTTACTGTTGTTAAATTCAGTCTGCTTTTTGGGGGGGTTGGCCTTATTGGTAATATGAGCTTTGGGAGTTTAAAAGTGCAGGGGGAATCACTAGTAGGTCAAAGATTCTGTGGTTCATGTATTGACATGGGCTCCCAGAATATTGGCAAAGTCTCTAGCTATCAACTAAGTAGAAACTGAGACTGAACCTTGGCATTCCTTCCACTGTGACTTTCACAGGGAATCTCCATTTTGACTTGTTACTCACCATTTTGTTTGCGTCGTGTCCATCTTGTTAATAAAATAGCCAGAATAACAAGTCCCAGTAGAGTCAGGATGACAGCCAAAGTTATTTCTGCAACAAAAATTCAACTGTACTCTTTCTTATTTAGACTGTGTCATGATCAGAGACAGCTTCTGGTCACCTCTTAACTGTTTTCACCAAATAGGCATCTCCCCTATGCCCCCTTTTCTGCTTTCTTCCTTAATGTTCCTTATCTTATTGTCTCCACATTCCTTCCCCTACTCATTATTTATATTGGTCCTATTGGTCAGATACTAAGAACCTCAGATTCTATGTACCCTTGGTTTAGAGAGTGGAAAATGTGACACATTTCCTCCTTAGTTGAATCCCTTACTCTATGTAGGCAGAAGGTTAGAGGAAATCATTGATACAAAGTAAAGTAATTGACTGGGGTGTGAGAAAAAATATTAGTTCTATTTTTATGTAATTTTATATTACAACTAAAATTCTAGATTTTCTGTTTTGAAGCATGTATTAGTACAGTAGTATGTTTACAACGTGTGTGTGTGTGTGTGTGTGTGTGTGTGTGTGTGTGTATGCAGTGTATGCAGTGTGTGTACAAATACTTTTACATGGGTAGGCGATCAAAAATTTTAGAGGCCCCTGACTGAACATGATCATATTAACGAAAACCACAACAGAAGACAGAAATTTCTTATCATTGGGAAAGACCTTTCAGTCATCACCCACAAAGCCTCTCATGATAAGACATATTTGTGACAGTTGTTACTTTGGTTAATAGAATTTCTCCCAAAGTCCCATGCTGGGACTGCTAGCCTATATCTATTTATGTATAACTGGAGAGACAAATCTTAAGTAGATACCTTGCTACGGTTATGAAGAACTGAGACTAAGGAGCTCTGGGGAGAAGAAAGGAAGAGAGGGAGGGAGGGAAAGAAGAAAGAGAAAAAGAGAAAGAGAAAGAAAAAGATGTAGGAAGGGAAGGTGGCAGAAGGAAGAAATGAATAAATGAGTGAATAAACCAATCATAAATCTGCCTGTGACAGTGATAAATGCTGAGACAACTGAACTATGAAGGGCTAAAAAATTTAATTACACCAAGATTAAGCTGCTGCAAGAAAGCAGTAGATGAATTCACCTCAAGATGTAATGAAACACCTCAAGTTGGGGAAAATCAGTCATATGTCTACACAATCTTTCAGTTGTTAGGTCACGTGAGAACAATTTCCCAACAAAACAACCTTCAGAGATTTGCTCCTAATGGACCACTAAAATGAATAGTAAATAGTTTGGCCTCTTTCATGGCAAGTCAGAATTTCATAACTGATGTGAAGTAATCCTTAGAGGAGGAAGGGATAACCAGGTGGTGTACTTGGATCAAGCTTCTGGAAGGCAGTACTCCCTTTGAGTGGTGTCTGAAATGTTCTGGCTATTAGACAAAAGATGATCCATTCCATTTTTGAGGAAAATAAGAAGAAGGGTTAAAACATTATAAAGTGAGCAATACTACCAGAAGTAAGACAACAGGCTAAGGAATTTTCCTATTGTTCCAGAGGATGGTTGTTTTGTTTTAGTTGTCCAAACTCTTGAAACCAAAGAAGAAATCATTGTCCTCACTCTAGAGCTGAGGTGACTCTGAGTGGTTTTCCTCAGGCTCCCAGAGGAATCAATGAGAGTGAAAGAAAGGATGTTGAATTTGAAAGAAAGCAGACAGATAAGGAGTGTGTTAAAGTCTCTGAAGAGAAGAGTTCTGAGCCAGTAAGGTCTGGGTGACCTTAGAGAAGGAGTCAGTCCATACCCAAGACTGCCATTTTTCAGGTGTTGTCTTCAGAGGGTTCTGTGTCATCCGGATTTCTTTGTCAAAGGGAGATCAAGATAAAAGGAACACCCCAAGCTCACTGTTTCTGAGCAGTATGAACTTGGATGTGGCAGAGGTCCTTGTAGACAAGCATGCAGAGGGTTACAGAGGAACTATGTGGCTCAGGTTAATCAGACCTAAGCAGACTAAAGGAGTGTGGCCTGTGAAGGTTCCAGAATCTGTGTCATAACAAAGAACTAGAACTTCAGAGAGACAAGAAGAAAGGAAGTTGAGGACCAAGAGGCTGGGAAGACTTCAGAATATTTTGGAGGGGGATTTTATGATTTTGAAAGGGGATTTACTCTATTTGGGCTCTTGAATAAGTTCTTATTTTCCAGACATTTTGAGGCCAGAGATTGTTTCCTTCATCCTTGTAACTTCTAGACATTTTGAAGCAGAGAACTTCCTATAGAATAGGCACTTAATAAATGTTTAATAATTAGAAGAGAGAAAAATTCCTATATCTATAAAAAGGAGGGCCTTGAAACAAATGGAGGGTGAACCGGTGAAGGGAAGCCATTGGAATTAGATAGTAAGGGAAAGTCAAGAGGTCTGTGGTGCTAGGAAAAAAGAGCCAGTGAATGGGATTTCAAGCCACTGTAGACAACAAGGGGAGTAATAAAATTATATGAACTCCAAGGCTTTATATTAGACACATACTTTACACGTACAATTTATTTAATCCTTAATAACATTTACAATGAAACTCTTCAAGGCTGAGACATCTGAAGTCACCCAGCCAACAAATGGCAGAGTTTCTGACTCCAGAGCCCACATTGTATTCACAAAGCCACATTTCATTTCAATCTTGGGGGCCTGCTGTTTGTGGTAGTATGTCATAGGCCAAGCAGTCAGCCACTGGAAGAGCACAGTGATGGCCTCCATTTTGAGGATGCTGCACCCTCCAGGTTTGGGGTAGCTCTGGACTACTTTGATTTATCTTTTACACCCCCCCCCACCTCCCCTCTGGCAACAATCATTTTGTTCTCTGCAGTTAAGAGGCTGTTTCTTGGTTTGTCTCTTGCTCTCTTTTTTCTCCTTTGCTCCTTTGTTTTGTTTCTTAAATTCCACATATGAGTGAAATCATATGGTACTTGTCTCTCTGATTTCACTTAGCATCAGAATCTCTGGGTCCATCCATGTTGTTGCAAATAGCAAGATTTCATTTTTTTTATGGCTGAATAATATTGCATTGTATATATATACCACATCTTTATCCACTTATCCATGGATGGACATTTGGGCTGCTTCCATAGTTTGGCTATTGTAAATAATGCTGCAATAAACATAAGGGTGCATGTATTCCTTTGAATTAGTGTTTTTGTATATCTTGGGGGTAATAACAAATAGTACAACTGCTGGATCATAGGGTAGTTCTATTTTTAATTTTTTGAGGGGCCTCCATACTGTTTTCCACAGTTTGCATTCCCACCAACAGCTCATGAGAGTTCATTTTTCTCCACATCCTCCTCAATGCATGTTGTTCTTGTCTTGTTGATTTTAGCTACTCTGACAGGTGTGAGGTGATAATTCATTGTAGTTCTGATTTGCATTTCCCTGATGATGAGTAAGGTTGAGCATCTTTTCACATGTCTGTTAGCCATTTGTATGTCTTCTTTGGAGAAATGTCTGTTCATGTCTTCTATGGCTTTGTAATTGGATTATGGTTTGGATATTAATTGTATCAGTTCTTTATATATTTTGGATACTACCCTTCTTCCATCCCATAGGATGGAATGGAAAGTTTTTATTTTGATGTAGTCCCAATAGTTTATTTTTGCTTTTGTTTCCCTTGCCTCAGAAGAGATATCTAGAAAGATATAGTTAGGGCTGATGTTAGAGACATTGCTGCTTGTGCCCTTTTCAAGGATTTTTATGGTTTCAGGTCTCACATTTCTTTTCTGAAGTTCTTCTGAAAAACAAAACAAAAGGATTAATGTGATATTAATGTAAATATCAAGGTAAACAGACAAGAAGAAAATTAGACTTTGTTGAAAAATAAGAATGTAAAGTCAAAAGTAACCAGGATGCTGCACGCACATGCACACACACACACACACACACACACACACACACACACACTTGGAAGCAGGTGAGCTCACTTTGATTTACATAATGCTCTCCAGGAAATGAAAAAGGAAGGGAGAAGAGTGATGATTTTACTGAATTTAGAGAATAAATGTGGGTTATTAGTTCTTGTGGTTACACTTTATTAACATCTTTTTATAACATTTTCATTCTTTCTTCCCCTAATAAGTTCTTTAACTTTTTCTATGTCTATCCTTCTATCTCCATATACCCCCTACCCACACACACACATACAGATCTGCGTGTGTGTGCGAGTGGGATATATGGAGATATATGGAATATATATGTGTGTGTGTGTATATATATATTTATGATATATATAGTCACCAATTACATGTTTATTCATATAAGCATATGTTATACATACATGTTATATCTGTATGTATAATATATATATACACACAAGTATTATTCATTTGTCAACTATTGGCATAGGATTTTATTAAATGTTTTTAATGTTTATTTTTGAGAGAAAGAGAGACAGAGCACAAGTGGGCTGGGGGCAGAGAGAGACGGAGACACTGAATCCGAAGCAGTCGCAGGCTGTGAGCTGTCAGCACAGAGGTCTACGGGAGGCTCGAACCCACAAGCAGTGAGATCATGACCTGAGACGAAGTCATGATCAGACTCCCAACCAACTGAGCCACCCAAGCACCCCGAGGGTTCTGGAATTCATCATAAGAACTTAGGAAGTGAATAATGGCAATGAATGCATACAAATAGTTTTTCAGCCTTTGTCACTTTCACTTTTTTACATTGGTAGATACTGCAGCACTATCCAATTGAGTTGTCAGTTAATTCTTCACAACTTATTTAATTGAAACAATCACTATATAATTTTTAATACTTAACTGGAAAAGTTTTCAAAAGTAAATAATATTGTCATAATTTTGTTCCTTCTTTCCTCAGTGCATCCTTCCTTTTTTCTCTTTCTGCTGTTCGTCAAATTACTTATCCTCAATTATTCCTGTGTCTCCAAGTTTTGCTTTCACCTATCATGATGATAATCATTATCATACTGAAGTAAACTACTGAGAAAGAGAAAATAAGAAAGTAAATTGAGAGGACAGGAATGAGACTGAAGAGAGAAAAAAGACAGGAATAAGTTAATTGAAGGAATGGAAATATTTGTAAAAGCTCTGCTGTTTTCAATCCCCAAGAAACTGTCCACATTTTGGAGATTTACAAACAAAAATCCAGGGAGAAATAAATAATACAATCATGGTAGGGGACATCAATGCCCAACTTTCTTCAATGGATAGATCACCCAGACCTGGAGTCAATAAGGAAACATTGGACTTGAAGTACATTTTATATCAAATGGACCTAACAGGTATACATAGATCATCCCATTCAACACACTAAAATGCATATTCTTCTCAGAGCTCAAGAAGGAACACTTTCCAGGATAAATCATATGTTAGATCACAAGACAAGTTGACAAATTTAGAAAATTGTTATCCTCAAGAATGTTCATCAATGCCAATGATATGAAACTAGAGGTCGATAACTGGAGGCAAGGTGAAAAATTGACAAATGAGATTAAACAACATGATTCTGAGAAGCCAGTTGGTCAAAAAAGAAAACAAAAGGTAAATCAAAAATATCTTATGATATATGAAAATGGAAACACAACATACAGAAACCAAAGGGAAATAGCAAAAACAGTTCTAAGAGAGAAATTTCTTAGTAATAAATTCCTACATTAAGAAAGAAGAAAGGGGAGCCTGGGTGGCTCAGTTGGTTAAGTGTCTGACTTCGGCTCAGTCATGATCTCACAGCTCGTGAGTTCAAGCCCCGGTTTGGGCTGTGTGCTGACAGCTTGGAGCCTGGAGACTGCTTCGGATTCTGGGTCTCTCTCTGCCCCTCCCCACTCATGTCCTCTCTCTCCCTCAAAAAAATTAAATATTAAAAATAATAAAATAAAGAAAGAAGAGAAATCTCAAATAAACAACCTAAATGGACACTCTACGGAAATACAAGAAGAAGGAACTAAACCCAATATTATTAAAGGAAGGAAATACTAAAGATCATAGCAGAAATAAATGAAAGAAAAGCTAGAGAAACAATAGAAAAGTTCAGTGAAACTAAGACTTGTTTTTTGGAAAGATTAACAAAATTGACAAATCTTTAGTTACACTACCTTAGAAACATGGGAGAAGGTGTAAAAAAATTATATATGAAAAAGAAGATCTTACAACTGATAAAACAGAAATACAAAAGATCACTATGTCAAGGCCACTATGAACAAATAACACCAAAAAGTCAGATAATTTAGAAGAAATGGATAAATTCCTACAAACTTACAACCTATGAAGACTGAATCATGAAGAAATAGAAAATCTGAACTGCCCAGTAAGGACTAAAGAGATTGCATCAGTATTCAAAACCCTCTCATAAAGAAAGGCCCAGGACATAATTTCATAGGTGAATTTTATTAAATATTAAGATAAAAATTAATGCCAATCCTTGTCAACTATTCTGAAAAGTTTAAGAAGAGGGAACATTTGCAAACTTATTTTTTAAAGCCAGCATTATCTTCATACAAAGGCAGAACAGTGCACTACAAGAAAATTATAGGTCAATACACTGATGAGCATAGATACAAAACTCTGCAACAAAATGCAATTAATCTGAATTCAACAGAATATTACAAGTATCAGAAATCATAACCTAGTGGGTTTTACCCCTGAGATGAAAGGATGATTTAGCATATGCAAATCAAGAAGTATAATACACCACATTAACAGACATCAGGTTAAAAATCACATGAACACTTAAGTAGACACAAAAAAGCATATGACAAGATCCAACACCTCTTCAGGATAAAACTCTCAACAAGTTATGTATGTAAAAAGGTGCCCCAACATTATAAAGGCCTTATATGAGAAACCCACAGCTAACATCATACTCACAAGTGAAAAGCTAAAAGCTTTTCCTGTGAGATCAAGAACAAGACAAGATGCCCATAGTCACCATTTTATTGAATATAGGACTACAAGTCTCAACTAGAGCAATTAGGCAAGAAAAAAAGTCATCTGAATCTGAATGAAAAAATAAAATACTCAGTTTGCAGATGGCTTGATAGTACATGTAGAATAATGCAAAGATCAACTAAAAGCTGTAGAACTAATAAATTCAATAAAGTTGCAAGATATAAAATAGCATACAAAAATCTGTTGTGTTTCTATACACTAACAATGAACTATCTAAAAAAAGAAATTAAGAAAACTATCCCTTTACAGTAGTATTAAAAAAATACCTAGGAGATCATTTAACCAAGGAGGTGAAAGATATTATACTGAAAACTTTTTAAAAGACATCAATGAAAAGATTTTAGTAGACACAAATGAGTAAATATCATGTCATGGATTGGAAAAATTAATATTATTAAAAGGTACATATTACCCAAAGTAATCTACAGATACAATGCAATCCCTATCAAAATTCCAATGAATTTCTTAACAAATAGAAAACAAAATCCTAAAATTCATTTGGAACCACAAAAACACTGAAGCCAAGGATATGTTGAGCAAAAAGAACACGGGGGGAAATCACACCACAAGACTTCAAAATACATTCCAAAGCTATAATAATGAAAACAGCATAATACTGGCATAAAACAGACATATAGATCAATGGAAGAGAATAGAAAGCCCAAAAAGAAATCCACACATTTATAATAAATTCATCTTTAAGGTGTCAAAACATACAATGGGGGAAGGATAGTGTCTTCAATAAATTTTGTTCCAAAAACTGTATATCCTTGTGAAGAAGAATGAAAATTGACCTGTACCTCACATCACATGCAGAAACCAACTTGAAGTGGAATAAAGACTTAAATAGAAGACCTGAAAATATAAAACTGCTG